AGCTGATTCATTGCATCGAGATTCGTGAAACCAAGGTTTATGCACAACAACTCCGAGGAGCTCTTTGGTGCTGGTGGGCAAATTTGATAGGTTGTGACTGACCCATTTGGTCACCAAATCTCCTGGATGGAGTTTAAGGATGCCTTCAGGGCACACTATATTCTAGATGGTGTGATGACCATGAAATTAGAAGAGTTCCTGGCTCTTAAGCAAGGGGAGCACCCGGTGATGCACTATGTTGGGTGTTTCAATCACCTGTCGTAGTATGCTATAGAGTATGTAAATATTGACAGGAAGAAGAAGAATCATTTCATGAGAGGTCTGAACACCAAACTTCAGACCATGATGGCAACTTGTGGCAACGCAACTTATCATGAGACTGTCAACATTGCTATCGCTTCAGAGGAGAATTACCGCCGACACAAGGAGGCGAAGAAAAAGAGGGCATTTGCTTCCGGATCATCGAGTGGAAAGCGTCAAAAGGTGATCTACCATCCTCAGAATCATGGCCGTGCACCATTCCACCCACAACAAAGCCAAAGCAGGCAACAAATCTTTATTCGCCCTGCAATTAATACGCCTTATACTCATCAAGCACCGCAGCAGCAAAACAATACAAATAATGCAAACCGCAATGCTACTCCCCAGAATCACAATTATCCATGCTATAATTGTGGTAAACCCGAACACTTTTCCCGAGAATGTTCGTATCCTAGGAAGAACAATCCTGATACACCCAAAGCCCCTGTTACTCAAGCTTAGAATTAGTACAAGGGCAATGCTCAGAATAGTCAGAAAGGTCAGGCTGAGAAGAAATCTGGAAGGGTCTTCTATACTCAGGTGGGATCTATTCCAGAAGGAGAACCAGTAATGATTGGTATGTTTCCCATTGCTAAGCACCCTGCAATTACCTTATTTGATTCCGGTGCATCCCATACATTCATCAATCGTACATTTGTTGTGAAGCATGGGATAACTATTGGGGAAACAAAAGAACCATATCATATACAGTCGCCCAGGGGACGACTCTATACAAGGGAGATAGTTCAGCATGTACCTATTGATTTGGGAGGACATGAGTTCCCTACAAAGACATCTTTGATATTAAAGGATCAAGATATAGATGTGATCCTTGGTATGAACTAGTTAACTCAACACGGGGCTGTCATAGATGTCTGCACAGAGAACCATAAGAGTAAATGTACTGGCAAAGCAAAACCCAACTTCTCATCCAACTTTCCTTTCCTAAAAGCAGTTGGAAGCAGTCATCACAACCTCTGTGGAAGAAGCCGAGAACATTCCTGTGGTATGTGAATTTACGAATGTTTTTTCCCAATGATCTGCCTGGACTGCCACCAAACCGAGATGTGGAGTTTAGAATTGACCTAAAACCAGGAACGGCACCTGTGTCCCGAAGAGCATATAGGATGCCACCCAAAGAACTAGCAGAGTTAAAAATGCAACTACAAGAGTTGTTAGACAAGGGTTTCATTCAACGTAGTTCATCACCTTGGGGATGCCCTGCTATCTTTGTGAAGAAGAAGGACAAAACCTTAAGGTTATGTGTTGACTATCGGCCGTTAAATGAAGTCACCATAAAGAACAAATACCCCTTACCTCGAATTGATTTGCTATTTGATCAACTTGCAGGAGCTAAGGTGTTCTCGAAGATAGACTTGAGATCAGGCTATCACCAGATTAAGATCAGACGTGAAGATGTGCCGAAGACAGCGTTTACTACCCGGTATGGTCAACTTTTGAATCTTTCTACATCCTTACCTTGACCCAACACCTGCATCCCTAAGACCTTCGCCCTTTTTGGTCGGGTCAGTCTTGTTGAGTACTTTTGTACTCAGGGTTTGTTAACCCTTGTTGCAGGTGAGTCGCATGCGCAGGCTTGTTTTGGTCCCTGCTGCATGTCAGTGTTTGAAGTCGATGACGATGAGGAATGATGAATGGCCTTTGGACAAGGCACTAGTTTGTGTGAAATAAATAATGTTCATGTAATATTAGCCCGCTACTAGGGTTGTATGACAATTATGGTTTTGTAAGTTTGAAACAACTGGTTTGTAATATCAAAACTTAAGTCTTCCGCTTTATAATCTCTGGTATGTATATTGAAAACTGTTGTAATATGCAATGACTGTGATTGGGATCCTGTTTGGAAAAGATTCGTGGATGATTCGGGTTTCCCGAGGACACCCGACAGACCTGTTAAGTTGTTGGAAACTTGTGTACGCTATCTGAGGTCTGTTGAGACATCAATAGGTGCACGTGGGCCTGATTTCTTAGGAGGTTCTGCCACAGTCACCATCTCGTTCTTAGCTTGCGCACCTGTCTGCCGATAATCTACTACCTTGGGCATACCCCTAGGTAGACTGCCGACCATATTTCATCAACAATCCACAAGTGTCACGGGCTTAGGCTCAAGTGGCGCTATCAAATATTTTGTACCTTCAAACTATAACTGACTACGTGTTGGAGAATGTCATTATAGGCAATGTATGTTTATATATTGTGATTTTAAGTCTATAGGAGTTGTTTGATACCATTGCTGCATGATCTACCTTCTCCACCTTGTATGATCTTAATCCATGAACTGTCATGTGTAGGACTCGCTAGTTGCTTTGCATGCTAGGGATATGGTAGAAGTCGAGTGATGGGCTGTCATTTGCGAGATACGGGATGGTTACCTTATGTTGAAAATTTATGATTACCATGATTTTGATGAACTTGATAATGAGTGGGAGTAAGTTGTTGATTGATTTCCAGGTGATGTCCTGGTCTGTTTAGTCCCGCCTATGTTGGTTAAGGACTGTCTGTTGCTAGACTTGAGGGTTAAGTTTGAACGTACTAGTCACAACTACATACCTTGTTTTACTGCCATTTCTAAACTGTTGCCCGCACTTCTAAGAAAAGACAATGGCCATGTGCTAGTCGTAACTCATAGATCAAGCAAAACTTGGATTTCAATTAGGGCAAGGCCCGATTATGCAGATAACTTTGGTCGAGGTTGGTAAAACTTGGAAATGGTGGACTTTTGTCGTGAGATTAGGTTTACCCAGCTCGATGTAATCAATTCAAATCGTCGTCGATTCTCAAATATGACTACCACTTGGCCCCTCCTTGTATTGTAGTAATGCTTATGGAACATGGATATTGATATTGATGATACACTTATTACTTGTTTGCTAATCAAGTGTATGCTATAGTTGATAGTTGCAAACATGAGACTTGATGTTTACTATGAACTTGAGCTAAAACATTAAAAACTAATGATCAACATTAGTAAGCTTTTCTACAAAAAAGGTGATGTTAGATAGCTCCACCATACAACCATTCATACCCTTGGAGTCTCTATATTATATGTTATATTTAGTTGGGTTTAAGTCTTGTGGAGTACAGTTGAGTACTCAAAATTTATTCCCCCACCATGTTGCAGATGAGCTTGTTGAGTTCTATGATTCGTGTGGCAAGTCCGTCTTGCCCAATGATATCCACCAGGAGTAGTCCTAGAGTTGTTGTAGGTTTAGTGTCAGTGAGCTCGACGTGGACTTTATTTATCTTTTGCTACCTCTACTCAGATTCTGGTCGTATTGTCTCATTATGTTTAAGAATTCTGAACTATTTGATTTTCACAGCAAAATACTTTGAATTCTGGTTTGTAATAACTTCTATTTGGACTCCGCTATGTATTATATTCTTCATTATAAAACTGCTGTAATGATGCGTGTGACCCATGGTCATCATTCGATTCAAAAATATTGTAACATCGGGTTTCCCCACGTGGTGACTCGACAGATTACCATGTTTAGTTTGGTTTATGGTGTGCTTAGTATCATGTTGGTGACGAGCACACTTGAATTGGGTTAGATTAGGTAGGTCTGTGGCACAATGTTGGCACTTTAACAGATCGGACGGTCCATTGCTCGGTGTCAATAAGCACCTAATAAGTGCTGGTTTCCACAAGAACGTTGAAAAGTTTTGTGTGGTTAGACGGACCGGACGACCTGGCGGTGTTGGCTGGACGGTCCGATGATGTTTTTTGATAGATTTGTCTATACTTTTGCAACGGATACCAACACTCTTCTATGGAGTTTGTGGCTATACAAGCACCTCAAGGGCATCCATTGAGGTATCTTGTCATCTTGTTACTAGAAGATCAAGAGAGAGATTGGAGTGACAAGTGTGCATCACAGAGCTTTAGGCTTGTCTTGGTCAAGTGAGTGATTCTTGTTCTTATTACTCTCAGTGATTGAGAGCACCTAGATGGTCTTGGTGATTGGAGGTGACTATAATAGCTCTTGGTAATCTTATGGGAGCTTGGAAGTCTTTGTGACTTGTATGTGATTTTTTATCCACTGCTCCAGAGATGGAAGATCGATACTCTAAGAAGATCTTGAGTCTTAGTGACTCAAGGTTGCTACCTTAGCGGGGGTGCAACGACATGGACGGGGGGGGGGGGGGGGTTGTCCCAACATCACAATATCACGGGGAAAAAAATCAGTTGTCTCTTGTCCGCTCCACTCCTTGCATTATATTCATGAGTTATGATCTTTTTTTGTGCTATGTGTGCTTGAAATACTTGTTTTTCAACCTAGGATTTCTTTTTCTTGTGGTATGTAGTGTGCTCCTAGCTTGTAGGTTTTTATGTTCCACACCTGAGAATATTATTGTTAGTGTGATCTTGCTTAAGGACTAGGCCATATGTTTTTTGCGCGTAGAGAGAGATCGGTCGTTTTCGCGTGGCTCTATTGTCGTCATCTTGTCTTGCGTGTTCATACTTGCCGTGCCACGAGGGAGAAAACCACAACAAATTAAAGACGACACGGTGGCTATACATGTACTACCACTTGAACTGCTATTGCCTTGTCAGTTGTCATCAATTTATAATCTGGGCAGGGCGGCGGCACGCCTTCAAAGTTCAAACCCACCGCGCTAGCTGCAGTCTCTCTCCTCTCTCCTTCAGCTAGCAAGCAACACCGATCCCTCAGGTGTCCATGCCGTCGATGGCGCCGGTAGAGCTCGACTTCCTCGGCCTCCGTCCTGCTGCTGCTGCTGCTGCCGCCGCCGACCACAACCACCACGGCAGCACCACCTCGTCCTCCTCCTCCATCCGAGGTCTCGACGATCGCGGCCGGCTTAATTTCTTTCTCCCCCACATCGATCGAAACCGATCATTGAATTGAATTAGCTAGCTAGCAAAAGCGTACGTGGCTCTGGTTGTTGACCTCCGCATCCGGATCATCGTCGGTGCATGCAGGCATGAAGACGAGCGCGATAGCGAGCATCGGGGCGCACCAGCTGCGCCGCGTCATCGTCGGCGACGTCGAGGCGCCGCCCAAGCAGCAGGCTCCGATGACCGTCTTCTACAACGGCGCCGTGGCCACCTTCGACGGCGTCTCCCAGTTCAAGGCAGAGGCTATAATGAAGATGGCGATGGAGGTTACTACCTCCAATGGAGGCCGCGTTGTCGTCCGTGGCGACGCATTTGCTGGAAATTTGAGCAAAGGTAGGCCATCTCGAATTGCTAACTACTAGCAAGTTACCACCAGCAACAACAAATGAAAAACACAAATAGTAACAATGTCACTATTTCTCTCTTATTTTTTCCTCGCAGCCTTATTATTAATTAACTGTTCCTCTCTCCAATTTGTTCTTGCTTTGCAGACGACATGCCACTCACAAGAACCAAATCGCTGCAGCAGTTTCTGCAGAAGCGAAAAGAGAGGTAAAACCTACATGGCCATCATGCAACCCCTGCACTTATGATTCTGTTTGATTTTAATCATTGAAATACTACGTACAATAGTTTCATATTTGGTCAATAAGTAACTTATGCGTTGTATTTAGCACATCCTAGTACATTTCAAGTGGCAAAGACTATTTGAGTAGCACAAATAATAATCGCATGCATATCAGGTTTGGTCACCAGCCGGCTCAACTTTTTTTTTTCAACTTTATGAATATTCCACCGATGACTTTGTGTACGCATAAAAGTGGGAAACAGTAGGTCAAAAGTAGACAAGAGTAGAAAATGAGTGTTTGGATTCTATGAACGCTCGGTATTCAGTATTTGCAGTATAGTTGGTGTGTTTTGTTTTGTCTGTAGAAATACCATACGACTAAGATGCTGAACATATTATAGCCTGTTTGGACACAGAGTTTTGTTTGGAGTTTTGCTTTTTTGTAAGAAAAAAAACACCATGGTTACGCACAATACCTTTTTTGAAAAAAATATATACACACATATATATTTTTGCAACAAATCTTTTGTTGGTTTCAAAAGCATGGTATTGTCTAATATAAATTGTGAACACTAGTCATGAATAAGTGACATTCTGACATTGTCCCTAAAATACAAATGTGATCACTGTTTTTCGCTAGTATATATATTTGTAACACATAGCAAAAATATACTATTACGAAACTACTCTTCTATATATACAATTATACAAAATTATATGCACAGTCTTTTTAAAAAAAAAAATCCAAATTCAAAACACAATATAACTTGTAGTCTCCTCACTCTGTTCTAAATTATAAGATGTTTTGTTATTTCATAGTTTCTATTTACTCTGTATTTATATATAATATATATCTAGGAAAGTTATGAATCAAAAAAAACCAAAACATCTTATAATTTGTAACAACAAAAATAGCTAATTTAAAATGGTTGAGTAACATCGCTTATTTGTGTCCGGATCGGAGTAGTTTTAATTTTTCGGGAGCTTTACAAACTCCTCTAGGAACCTTTTTTTTCTTCTAAGCCAAACCTTTTTCATGTCTCTGATCTAAAACTAAAGTCTCTCAATACCACAAATGTTTACTTTTGAGCTTCAACATATCATCCAAACATGCCTTTAATTACTATGATCCAACACTCAATGCAGTTAAGCAAAACCTAAACCATCCATCTAAAAGATATTACTTCAACAGGATACGTATATAAATAAATAATATATAAATGAAATTAAACAGGATACGTGTGATCAGTCGTTGCTGGCATCAACGAAAGTATATAAACCGTGTGGGTCCTTTCTTTGGACCACAACAATCTCGATCGGTCAGTTGAAGTTGAAGGGTAGCACAATCAAAACCCACGTTTTGGACGTGACGGACAGCGATAGCTAGCTTTGCACGCAGTCGATACGATAGCCCAGCACCTACCGAATCGACGACCGCAATTATATTGAGCACAATATTTGCTCTCATCACATGTATGATCGCGTTCGATTTGGTTGCTTAGTTTTTGGACCAAGAATGCAGGCATAATTGACGCGTGCATGACTCTTTAATTTCTACAATATTTTTTACTCCATATGACGACATGTTTTTCCAATCTAAAATTTCGGGATATATAGATTTTGACCAAACTAGGCTATGTTTGGAACCGTGATCTGCGGGCGCACGGTGCAGTATCCCATCCGTGGCTCCATGGCCGCGATACGAGTAATTGGCGGTGTCGTTTGTTTTCCGATTTTTTCCTTACGGGTGGTCGCGAGAATCACGGTCACCATGAGATGTTTGGCGGTATTTTCTTGATTCTCGCGGTGGGACGTCCAGAAATCTGATTATAATCGGTTCTAAACAGGGCCATATACTAATTCACTACCTGCGGCCTTTTTAATCGAGTTACATCCGTTGCATGTTTACTGATGATGCCATTGCGCGCAGTCAATTGATTCGTTTTATATGTGTGGGTGAATTAAACGTGCAGGCTGAGTGGGTTGGGTCCGTATCAGCTGGGAATGGGACCGGGAGGAACCAGCCGCGTTGGTGCAGCGACGACCAACAAGTCGTTCCATGTGAAGGAGGAAGCAGCAGCTTAGCCTACCTTGGCGTCCGCTCCAGCAGCCGCCAAGCTACTAATTCAAGTTCAATTTTTTGGTAGTATTATTGTATCGACAAAATAAATAGAAGTTCCACAGAGGATAAGTTTGTTTGATAATTTCATTCATAAGTATTATTATTGATAAGATTAACTCTAGAGTTGATCATATAGGCATATGTATGTTTGTTATATATATTATTTTTTTTACCCAGGATGTTCAATACATTATATTGTTAGATTCTCTTGCTTGTTTGTTGGACACCAATTTTTGGTCATTCTAGCAATGCTTATGTAGAGCTTTTCCATCCTTGACCAGCAGGTTCTTTGAAAACAAATATCATTTCTAAGGGCATGTATGGATCTCCTATTCTAAAAACTTTAGAGTACTTTAGCCTAGTTTTGAGCTCTAAAACTCTAATGTGAGGTGGATTAAAGTTTAGAACTAACTTTAGACAACCTATTTGAAGATTTTAGCTTTAAAGTTTAGAGGGGTGGATCCAAACAGGCCCTAAGTTTTCAGAAGCTCTAAAGAGCCACAGTAGTGATGCAATTGTGTACTGAAAAGTTGGTATTACTAATAAAAAACCACCGACAGATTCAAAAGTATCCCCTAAATTGGTCTTCCATATTTGAGAAATGACTAACCATAATTGTTTTTAGCAACTATATAACCAGAAACAAGTGTTGTTAGGACTCCTTGTCATAGCAAAATCAGGGGCATAGCTAGGGGGTAATGCCGAGTATGCCCTGGCAATATCCTCTGGTCCAGCTAAGTGTGTACGCACACAATGAAAATGAAAAAAAATATCTATTCAATTGAGAAACATCTATTACCCGCTCTGTGTTTGGCCTTCCCGGTTGCAATCACCCAACACGCGTAACGCCTCAATTGCCGGAGCACAAGGGACCCACATATCACGGGGGCTAGTGATGTCTCGATTCACTCATTGATCGGCTATGCAAACAGCCGCTCACAGTCTGCACCATCAATTAGTTCATCACGTCGATGCTGTTATAGTGGTGGCTGAGCACTTGCCACCTGATCTAGCAACCCATGAACATGGAGTGACGTCACACATATGCAATCATTGTCGCTTATTCTTTCGGTAGAAAAAACTACATTCTTTCTGTCGGTGCGAAAAGTGATCAACAAGTAAATATTTATAGTTTTGTCATGTGTTATGATCGGATGTGGCATAACACTCAATGACACAGGATTTATACTGGTTCAGATAACGTGCCCTACGTTCAGTTTCAGCCGGTCGGTGACTTTATTCCTGAGCCTAGGTGCTCAAAGTTTGTTGTGGGCTTACAAACGAGTAGGAACAAGGAGGGTGTTCAAGGCCCGGTCGGACTCTGAACCGAAGGGCCGAGAGTAACGGGGGCTCTAACGTACGATAAGTATTGGAGCGTATGCTCTGTGTAGTTTTAGAGTTCTACAGCTATTGAGCTATTCGAGCTCTTTTTTTTAGGAGAGCTAGAGAGCCAGAGTCAGAATAGTCAGATCTCTTTTTAAGAGAGAGCTCATCCCCTTTTATAGTCGAAGGGGATGGGCTCTTACAAGTCAGAGAAAGAGAGAGAATGTATACGTGTGCTACCTAGTCTTGTTGCTCACACTATCGGGTATGAGACGGTCATCGGCGCCCACAATACTGTTTGTGTCCATATGCATGTGGCAGGCTCTACCATGTTCGCCTGGTATGGCAAATGTCGGCGCCTACAATACTGTTCGAGTTCTGGCAAATATCGGCACCGTCCTGCAGGTGTGCAGGTGATGGTAGAGTACGGTCCTCGGTATTGCGGTTTGACTTGAGCGCCTTACCTTATCTGCTCTGTCTGATCCCTGGGCCCTCACCGAGTGAGCATCCTCGGTCGGTCGTTCCCAGTCGGCCCGCCCGTGTTGGTTGGAGAAGAGCTGCAAGCAGAGGTCCGGCGTATCCCCGGTCGAAAAAGGAGGTCGGAGTCTGACTGTGTCCCCACCTTGGCCAGGCCTTCCGGTCGGGGACCGGATCGTTCTCCCTGCCTGTCATCATGTATCTGGACCGGCCCGGGAGGCGCGCGTTGTCACTACGCCACCTGCTGGGCTGAGTTTTTGTAGGGAAGCAGCTCCATTGGGGACCCCGGGTTTATGAACCCGACAGGAGCCCCCGAGCCCTTTTGGGACTTCTGTGAAGTCGTGAAGGGGTTGTTTACACTCATTTCACGAGCGCACCCGGTGGGTGTAGGGCGAGATGGAGCGCCAACCCAAGTGTCGGGCATGGCTGAGGGGTCGGTCTAGTTTTGTGCGTTACCCCATCTGCGGTTTCCGCAACTGGAGGGGTTGAGCTAAAGTCGCTTGCCTCGATGGCTTGAGTGACGCGCTCGGTGAGCTTAATAATGGGTACGTCCGAGTGGAATCCGGGTCCGTTGTTTGTAATGGGGTCGGCATAGCCCTGATGTGGCATTCCACTGCTCCTTAACCCACCTCCCCGCAGATGTTCGAGCCATTTCGGAGACTGACTCAGGTGGCCGCTGGCCTCCTCTCGATGGAGATTCTGTGGGCATGGTTCGAGGTCAGGATCGAACGAGAAGGTTGAGATGACCCTGTCCGCTTATGAGCGGATTGGGCGAGGGCCGCTGGGGCTCATATGCGTTTTCTCCCCTAGCTCTGTTTGACGCGAGGCGGCCTCGAGCCCTTTGCGGGTCGGCCTTCAAACCTCGATCGGTTGTCGCTCATATCGAATGAGGCGACTACCGCTTCGTGACGCAACACGAAGTGTTGTGATGCAACAACTGCATATGCAATGCTTGGATGTATGGGATGAATGTATGGATGAATGCATGTATGATAATGGATGAATAAATGATTATGCATTAGAAAACAAAAAGGGGGGTTGGTAAGGTTACATCGATGGCTCGAGTGACGGGTCTGGGGAGCTCCTATCAGATATGTCCGAATGGGATCCGTGTCCGTCGTTCGTGACAGGGTTAGCATAGCCCGCATGAGGCATCCCTCTGCTCCTTACCTGTCTCTCGGTAGCTGCCCGAGCCGTTCGATCGACTCGGGTGACCCGTTGGCCTCTCCTCGATGGAGATTCCATTGGTGGGCCCTTCCAAATCCTACCTGGGAAGGCGAAGGATCGTTTGCATGCAGTTGCACCTTATTTCCCGCGCCCGGGTTGCGGTAGTGGTGGGCCCTGCCTAGGCCACGTCCCTCTAACCGGGCGACGTTTCGTCGGGCAGGGCGCGTCCCATCAGCCAGGGCCACGTCCCGCCACACGCTTTTCCGCATTAAATAGGAGGGAAGGGAGAGGATTTTCCTCCTATTCTTTCGCCTTCCTTCAACCGCTGTCGTTCCTCCTTCCTCCCTTTCGCCAAGTCTATTCGTGTGCCGCAGTGATTTCTAGGAGAGAGGAGGGCAGAGCGAGGGAGAGGAGAACTCATAGATTCATTCGTAAATCTGAGGCGCAATGTCGAACTGGAGGCCTTCCAATGTGGATGAGGAGGTGCTGGTCGCCTTCACCGAGAAGGGGCTGCTCCCATCGAAGGAGGTGGTGCATTGGAGGGCTCCTACGCCGGGGGAAGTTGTTCCGCAACCCTGGGCCAACGAGGTCGTCTCCTTCCTCGCCTTCCATGAGCGCGGGCTTGGGTATCCCACGCACTGGTTCCTGCGTGGGCTCCTCAACGAGTGGGGCCTGGAGCTGCAGCACCTCAACCCGACTAGGGTACTACACATCGCTGGCTTTGTTACCGTCTGCGGGGCCTTCCTCGGGATGGAGGCGCACGTGGACCTCTGTAACACCTCTGGTGTTACGAGCTCGCTAAGCACTGAGATTATGGTCTGAGGGATAGATCTATAAATATAGCGAGTTAGTTACGTAAATGCCTATATGTGTTAATGAAAAATCCTAACGCGAAGAGTAGAATAAGTAGTTCTAAACTTTGTCATGAAAGCAATTTTTATAAGCAAAAATTAAATATAATTTGTATGTAGCACTTGAATAAAGTTTAGAGTGTAAGTGTAGTAGATGGAAATGCAACATTAATTTTTGGAGAATAAATACTATTCGTTAGTAATTTGGGAAGTTCAACAAAAATCAAACTTGGAATTTGGAAGGGTCATTTTCGTTGCCAACAAGCACTTGAGCTTATGTTTAAAAGTATCCTTCTTTGGCAAATTATATTGGACAAACTAATTAGGAAGTGCTTGGATATTATGTTTCTAAGAGTTAGTATGTAGTATGGCTAGGTCGTGGTACAATTGTTAGTTGAATCCGGCAAGGTTTAGACCCTTTCAATATTATGGCAAAAGCGCTAAAGGTTGTTAGTTCTAACTAAACCCTTACTCTGTCTTAAGTCGGAAAAGAATCATAAACAATGTCATTTTGGCATGTAAAATTTAACAAAAATGATTAAGCAATATATCTATGTTTTTGCACAATTGGTTGCATTTAGGTGTATACTAGAACTTGGTGTAGGTCGTGGTTACGTTAGAGTTACGATGCTCATGCAAAAAAATTGCCGAATTTCGTAACAACGCGCTACGAGCATGTGGTTGGTGCTCTGTTCGCAAATCGAAGTTTCAGCGACGAACTGATCTTGGCACTCATTGATCTTCCTCTATAGTCACTCTCGGAATGTGGGATTTATTTCGCTAACTAGTGGATAGTGTCGGCTTCAGGTTAGAGTAATTGGTTGAACCTTAGTCGAGTTAGTCAATAGTTTTTGATTCGCTTTAAAACTCGTGCATGCCACCACTCACTCTGTTTCGGCCTGAGTCCCGCGGTCACCGCGCGTGCACGCCGCTGCTACCTGGTCACTCCTGGCCATGGTCGCTGCCTCGCAAGCCATTCTCGCTAGCTACTGCTGTGGTGCTGCTCCCACGCGGTTGCCGCGAGGGCACTGCCGGCCAAGCCATGTGTAGGACCATGCCGACACCGCGACAGTCATCGCTTGGCCGTCATTGCGCCACTCATTTTACCAACCCACCGAGTCACCATTTGTCTCGGCTGTCTTCTA